CTAAATTAACAAAAAAGTAACGTATTAGATTCAGTCATAGTATGACAGATTGCATTGATGTCTAAGTTAGAATTACAATACACATATATAACAATGTGGAGCATAGGAGGTAAGGTATCATTGTACTGTTGGATGTGTTCTAAAGGCCACCATTGAGTGGAAAAGATGTAGGGGATCAAACTTGAAAGGAAAGTCTAGCAAAGTTCAAAAACTATAAAGTAGTTAGAATAGGGGACTTCAGTTATGTTAATAAATGCTGGGATACGGATATTGGGAAGGGCAGAGAGGGGAAAGAGTTTCTGACGTTCATTCAGGAGCGTTTTCAAGACTAGCATATTTCCAGCACAGCGAGGAAGGAGGCATTATTGAATTTGAGCCTGGGGAATGAGGTGAGTCTAATGGATCAAGTGTCCGTAGGGGAGCATTTAGAATATTGGAAAGTTGGGCAACACCTAAAGCGGTAAGTCACCAGCATCAGATCAGATATATCTGAGGGTACTGAGGAAGGTTAAAAATGGAAGCTACAAGGCACAATAGGATGAGGGAGGAGTTGGCTAAGGTAGACTGGGAGCAAAGACTATAGTGGGACAATTGAAGAATGTGGAGAACTTTCAAGGCAGTTTTTCTCACTGTGCTGAGCAAAAGTATATACCAGTGAGAAGGATGGACTGTGGGAAAAGGGAAGATCAGCCATGGACAACTAAGGAAATAAAGGAGGGTATCAAATTGAAAGCAAATGCTTACAAAGTGGCAAAGATTAATAGGAAACAAGGGGATTGGAAAATCTTTAAAGGTCAAGAGCAAGCCATGAAAAATGCTATAAAGAAAAGTAAGATGGATTATGAGAGGAAACTAGCTCAGAATACAAAAACAGACAGCAAACATTTCTAAAATATATAAAGCAAATAAGAGTGGCTAAGTTAAACATTGGTTCCTTAGAGGATGAGAAGGGGTTTTAATTATAGGAAATAAGGAAATGGCTGAGGTGTTGAACAGGTATTTTGTGCTGGTCTTCATAGTAGGAGACACAAATAACATGCCAAAAATTAATGACATGGAGTCTATGGTAGGCGAGGACCAAGAAACTATCATTAACAATAAAGAGGCAGTGTTAGGCAAGCTAATGGGGGCTAAAGATGGATAAGTCTCCTAGCCCTAATAGAATGCATCCCAGGGTACTGAAAGAGATGGTAGGGGAGATAGCAGATACGCTCATAGTAATTTACCAAAATTCGGTGGATTCTGCAGTGGTTCCGGCAGATTGGAAAACAGCAAATGTGATGTCACTGTTTAAGAAAGGTGGTAGACAAAAGGCAGGTAATTATGGGCCCATTAGCTTAACTTCTGTAGTGATGAAAATTCTTGTATCTATAATCAAGGAGTAGAAATTGTCCCATCAGACAGACACAGCATGGGTTTATGAAAAGCAGGACATGTTTAATTAATTTCCTGGAATTCTTTGAGGACTTACATGGACAATGGGCAACTGGTGGATGTGGTGTATCTGGATTTCCAGAAGGAATTCAACAAGGTACTACATAAAAGGCTGCTGCATAAGGTAAAAGTGGATGAGTTAAGGGTAATGTATTTACATGAATAGAAGATTGGTTAACTAACAGAAAGCAAAAAGTGGGGCTATCTGGGTGTTTTTCTGGTTGGCAATCAGTGGCTCGGAGTGTGCCTCACGGATCAATGTTGGGACCACAATTGTTTACTATTTACATAGATGATTTAGAGTTGGGGACCAAGTATAGTGTGTCAGAGTTCGCAGATGACACTAAAATGAGTGGAAGAACAAAGTATACAGAGGACACGGAAAGTCTGCAGAGGGATATACATAGGTTAAGTGGATGGGCAAGGGTTTGGCAGATAGAAAATAATGTTGGTAAATGTGAGGTCATCCATTTTGGTAGGAATAATAGCAAAATGGACTATTATTTAAATAGTGAAAAATTGCAGTATGCTGCTGTACAGAGGGACCTGAGTGTACTTGTGCATGAATCACAAAATCTTGCTTTGTAGGTGCAGCAAAGAATTAAGAAGGCAAATGGAATATTGTCCTTCATTGCTAGAGAGATAGAGTTTAAAAACAGGGAGATTATGCTGCAGCTATCTAGAATGGTGGTGAGGCCACACCTAGAGTACTGTGTACAGTTTTGTTCTCCTTACTTGAGAAAGGATGTACTAGCACTGGATGGGGTACAGGGGAGGTTCACTAGGTTGATTCTGGAATTGAGAAGGTTGCCTTATGAGGAGAGATTGAGTAGACTAGAACTAAGGGGCATAGCCTCAAAATAAGGAGAAGCAGATTTAGGACTGAGCTGAAGAGGAACTTCTTCACCCAAAGGGTTGTGAATCTGAGGAATTCCCTGCCCAATGAAGCAGTTGAGGCTACCTCATCGAATTTTTTTAAGGCAAAGATAGTTTTTTGAACAGTAAGGGAGTTAAGGGTTATAGTGAGCTGTTGGGTAAGTGGAGCTGAGTCCACGAAAAGATCAGCCATGACCTTATTGAATGGTGTAGCAGACTTGATGGGCTAGATGGCCTACTCCTGCTTCAGTTTCTTACGTTCTTATTACAACAGAGGTATCACAGCCAGGTCTTATTACGTCCTCATCTACCATGAAAATATAACATTACGGATAGCATTTGGGAGTAGATAAACTGCCAATTTTCTCCAGCTAATCAAAGAGTGTTAAGACCAATGTCAACATCAATCCAGCTGAGATAGTAGGAACTGCAGATGCTGGAGAATCTGAGATAACCAGGTGTAGAGCTGGATGAACACAGCAGGCCAAGCAGCATCATAGGAGCAGGAAGGCTGACGTTTCGGGCCTAGACCCTTCATCAGAAATGGGGGAGGGGAAGGGGGTTCTGAAATAAATAGGGAGAGAGGGGGAGGCGGATAGAAGATGGATAGAGGAGAAGATAGGTGGAGAGGAAACAGACAGGTCAAAGAGGTAGGGATGGAGCCAGTAAAGGTGAGTGTAGGTGGGGAGGTAGGGAGGAGATAGGTCAGTCCAGGGAGGACGGACAGGTCAAGGGGGCGGGATGAGGTTAGTAGGTAGGA